CCCAACTGAAGAAAATGGGCACAGGGGTTTCCTCTGTTCTGTTCTGCCCTTTCAAAACAAATTGCAGATAAAGTGTGATGGAGGGTTGCCTGGGGTCATTTCAGTATGCAAGACCCTGGGATACTTGGACATTTTGTCACGTATCTTGGAGCCTTCCCTGCCTTACCAGGTGCCCCTGGTTCCTTCTCAGCCATCTATACCTATCCTTTGAACAGCACTTAAGTAATAAAATCATATACAATTTTAGGAAATTTTAGTACTGTACAGCTTTCTGGTACATGAGTTGGGAAATGTTTAATAAGTTTACTTTCAATATACGTTAGACCTAAACTAGAATATGCATCAGTGGGTATAGTATCCTCAATCAAACATGCATGTAAGCAAAACAGAAAGCCCAAAGACATGCAACAAAATAGAGCCCAGGGGCCGAATTCATCAAGCAGTTATGCAAGTGCTGTATTTACGAACCTGTGTATCTTTTCTCAATCTTTGGTGGCTTTGTTTACATTTATTAAACAGTTTACAAGCATTGAAACTTCCTATTCAAATCTTGTTACTGTTATAAACAGCCTACTAGTACTTTGGAACTCATAAACTATTTAATATAAACAAAGCAGTCAAAGATTGAAAAAAAGACGAACAGGTTCGTAAGTACTTACGTAACTGCTTGATGAATCCAGGTCCAGATACTAAAAGCAATAAATTAAAAAGATTAAAGTTTTGGATGTGTCCAGATATAATGGCAGAATTAAAATTAAAATAACAGCTTCTTGCTATTCTGCTGACAAAGTAGATACTGTACTAGCATCTGGTAGTAGTCAGGTAACAGCCATATAGGCCAACTTTGCAATTAGCAGAGCAGTACCTGATGGTCACTTTGAAGCCGAGTATCACTTTAACACTTTGCCTGGCCGATAACTCATACTGCATCCTGATATGAATATACTGTACTGTACTCAGTCTGGGCGAGGACCCACACTGTCCTAAATTAAAATATTCATTAAAAATTCATTTTTTTCCAATCATTATGGGACTTGTTTTAAAAAGTGCACCAACGTCTTCCCATTTTTTGTGATAGCCCATGTGGCATCATGGCACCACCACCGCTAGGCCAATTTTTGGGTTTGCTGCAGGTGGCATGCCAGGTTTTTTTTACCTTATTTGCATATATCCCCATAGAGAATTCTACTGCGAACTTGATACCAAAATCAACAACGTAACACAGAAATTGAGATGATAAAGCTGAAAAGAGTATACACATTTTAGTGTGGGCGAGCACTCACAGGAAATGCCAGGCCAACCTTGGGGTGGGCTGGGCCTCGTGTACCGGGCCAGCCAAAGTGTTAACACTATCGGTAACTTTGGACCAGACTTGCGTCCATTATTTTTCTCCTGAGTCCTAACTTTGGACCGGACTTGCGTCCACTACAAAAAATATTTGTATAAAATTAATTTTTTATCCAATCGACCTCGGGATAGTATCAAAATAAGCACCTTTAGAATGGGCAAAATTTGATACCAAAATGAAAGATGTAACATGAAACTTCATGTCCAAACACTTACATGATTATAAACAGGCTTTTGGTCAAAATTTTAAAATATTTGTTAAAATTCTATTTATTATGCTATTATGTCGGGACTAGTTTTAAAATGCGCGCCTTTACGTCGCGAACAGTTTGATGCCAAAATGAAAGATGTAACACAAAAATTTATGTCAGAACACTGGAAAGATATAAATAATTTTGTGATGATGAGCTTCCAGAATTAAAATTTTTGTTAAAATTCCAGTTTTTGCTCTATTATTATGGGACTAGTTTTAAAATATGCGCCTTTTTATTGCGAACAATTTGATACCAAAATGAAAGACATAACACGAAAATTGATGTTATCAAACTGAACGAGTATACACATTAGGTTGCAGTGTACAAATTGGTGATCGTTCACGGGTAACTTTAGGCTTTTCTGCGGGGAGGCACTCCAAACTTTTGTACATTATATTCATACACATCTGTAGGGAATTTAATTGCGAACACAATGATACCAAAACGAGCAACGTTGCATGAGAATTAAGGTGAGAAAAATGGAACGAGTATGCACATTTTACTGATTTTGTGCGCTCACGGGTAACTTTTGCCGACTTTAGGCTTTGCTGTTAGAAGTCACGCCAGGCTTTTGGACATTATATTTATACACACCTGTAGGGAATTTAATTGCGAACATAATGATACCAAAACGAGCGACGTAGCACGAGAATTAAGGTGAGAAAGCTGAAACGAGTATACACATTTAGGTGTCACCGCACGCTCGCCCGCACGTCGGGTGCATGACCCCTAAGTTGACTGCATGCCTGTCCGGTGACCGATAGTGTTAAGTGTTGATAAATTTTACCCTTCTGTACACTGCTATGGACTGGACAGAGAAACCTGGCTAATGTATGGTCCTGTCCTCGGGAGAGCTGGACATTATCTAAAACAGCAACTGAGTGGTAGAGAATAGAAAATATTATAGGACATATTTAATTACTTGTATTACCTGGGTGGAATGACTTGGTAAATAAGGCTCCAGTTATTGATATCAAATTCAGTTGTCAGAACGGGAGGAACGGTAAATCAGAGAGCCTTAAATCGAGTGGATATTGAATTTATTTTGTCAAGGAGAGGAAGCCTGTGTATACATGCACGTTAGGCTTGTATAGTGGTCCCCTCACTACAGAATAAACTACTGACCTTCCCCAGGTTGTAAACTTGCAGCAATTGATTAACCCCTGGATACCTATTTACTTCTAGGTGAACAGAGGCACTAGGTTAAAGGAAACACGATGAAAAAGAAGAAGCATGGCCCTCTTCTTGAAACTACAAAGAGATGACAAAATACAGTGGAACCTCGAGTGACGACCACCTCAAGTGACGACCATTTTGGGTAACGAACGCCCCAATTGCCGACAATTTGCCTCGTTAGGCGACCGCTCGTTTGAATAACGTCAATACCACATGGTGGGGTCTGGGACTGCTTCTCGCACATTTTTGGACGCCTCCGACGATGCAAATAAATTATTTTTCTTTGTGTACAGATGCTATTGATGCTGGGATATTGCAAAGCATTGACTTTTTGTAGAAAAACGAAATGAACTTTTTTAAAGAAAGAACAAATGTCAAAAAGGTTCGTTCAGTGTTTGTCAGGTAGGCTGCTCCATGTTTCTTATAAAAAAAAATGAAAAAAAAAAAAAGAATTTTGAAAAACAGAACAAATGTCAAGAAGGTTCGTTTAGTGTTCTGCAGGTAGGCTGCTCCATGTTTCTTGAATAAAAAATAAATAATAAAAATAAAACAGTTGAAACAATTTGAAAAACGGACAAATGCCATAAAGGTTCGTTCAGTGTTTGTCGGGTAGGTTGCTCCATTATTGAGAAATAAATGAAAAATACAAAACAAATGGAATACATTTGAAACACAGAAAGATCGTCATAATGGAGCAGCCTACCCAACAAACACTGAACGAACCTTTATGGCATTTGACCATTTTTCAAATTGTTTCAATCGTTTTTTTTTAATTTTCCAATTTTTTTATTTAAGAATCATGGAGCAGCCTACCTGCCGAACACCGAACGAACCTTTTTGACATTTGTTCTGTTTTCCAAATTCTTCATTTTCTTTTTTTAATTTTTTTTCAGAAACATGGAGCAGCCTACATGACAAACACTGAACGAACCTTTTGTTATACTAAAAATGAAAAAAAATTTTAACAAATTTAAAGAAAGAAAAATGTCATAAAGGTTTGTTCAGTGTATGTAAGGTAGGCTGCTTCATTATTTAAAACATCGAATATCATATTGATGTTTTTCGGTGGTAGAACAGATTAATTCAATTTCCATTATTATCAATGGAAACATTCGTTTTGTATGACATCCGTTTCACATGACGATCACAGCGCCAGAATGGATTAAATTCGTTATTCGAGGTTCCACTGTATTGAAATGAAAATATTTACCAATATACAAAGTGTGTATTTCACAACACAGTACAGTACATATGTTGTATTGTACCTATCACAATTTTACTGTGCAATATGAGGTTCATCAGTGGGAAGGCGTTAAATATATATAGTTTTTCAACATCACTGACACTTTCTATTCACAAAAATTCCCTCCCCCTCCCCTACACAAACCTAATTCTGTACTGTGACCTGTTCTCTGTGTAGTCCTTCCATTTCCTTAATTTATTGGTTCCCTACCAATCATAGTACTGTACTACCATGTGCTTCACTTTTGTGTATTCTCCTTGTAATTATACCATCCATCTGACTCCCTACATGTCGAAAACATCAACCATAATGGTACATTATTATCTCGCTGTACTTTTTCTACAATTCATATACTAGACCTTCTCTAACAACATTCATATACAAGTATAGTACTTCACATTTACCTATTCCTTGTCATGTACTAATACATAAACTTGAAGAACAGTCTGCAGTATTGCAGACTACAATAGTCTATACTTCAAGATTTATCTCAGTTCATGTCATTGACTCCCATGGTTATAAGACCCAGAAGGAGCATATGGTCACATAGTCGCTACAATACATCATATGTCTAGTAATATCCATTAATCAGTTAAGATTAATATGCACCGATATTAAAGAAATTTTAACATGTATATGAGCTTTCTTTCCTATACTTTAAATAAGTATAAGATGAGGCTTATAATTCCATTTCCCTTTATCATGTACTGTATATCCAAAACTGCCATCAAAAACAATGTTCAAGAAATGAACTCTCCATGTACAGTACTGTACTGTACTGTAAATTCTACACACAAGAATTCAGCGATTGTGGTTCGCACAATCTGTCATACTAGTGCGTTACACAAAACCATTCAGACATTGCCCAAACACTATCAAAAGCAAACAAGCAAACAAATATTAAAATTAAGAGAACGGAACCAAAGCAAAAACTCCTTGCGTGAGGCAAGAGTAGACAACGGAGTGCAAGATAAGGATACAGCAGTGAGCTTGTGCCCTGTGTGCAGCTTCTCTTGTACATGTGGTGCAAGCTCCATGACTGATGCTATGCTGCTACTACACTCACCACTCCTTTACATCTGGCAAAAAAAAATAAATAAATAAAATGTATAAATATATATTCTGTACACTGTACTGTATTTGCAAGACATTACATTTTTACTTTTTATTCAGATTGCATTCCAGCAGTACTGTAGTTTAAAAAATTATACAGTACTGAATTATCTTTATTTATTCACAGTGTTTTAACTATTTTAATCGAAATGCAGTACATTCACTCAGCATCATTCTCATCAATTTGATGAATGCCTTGTGCTGTAGGCACATCAAAAAATTATATATAATACCATATATATGTCATACCTAATAGCCAGAACTGCACTACTTGACCTAGTATGCATGGCAATTTGCCTAACAAGCAGAGATATTTTCATTATTTTCAAATATTTCTTTCCAAGTATGGTTACTTCAATTAATATTATTATATTATATTAACAACATAAATTACTAACTTAATTATATTATGTTAGGTAAGGTAGGTTAAGTTAGGGTTGATCAAATTTCTATGCAAGTTTTAACTCAAATTAAACAAAAAAATCATCTATATTATAATGGAAAGCTTAATCATTCCATAAAAAACTGAAAATTAAAATATTTCAGAAAAATTCAGCTTGTTAGGCAATTTAGCTTATTAGGTCCAACATGTATAGTACAGTACATATACACACACACACACACACACACATTCATATATATATACATATGAGTACTGTATACAGATTTTTAAACTACAGTACAGAATTAACAAAACTTACCGATATTTTCTAAATTTTAGTCAAGCCAGATTAATATTCTAATCAAAGCTGCAATTTAAATCTGCAAGACCATTTAATCATGCAAGGTACAGTATTTAATTCATACAATTCTGAGGAACACAAAAGTACATGTCAGTAGTGAATAAGAACTTTAAACAAATGAAAATGAGCCAAGGGATGCTCAAAGCTACCTGGCGACCCTGGGTCACGGTAGTCAGCCACAACGTAACAGAGGAACGCATGAAGAACAAACTTGTCCACAAGAAAACAATGTCCCAGAGAAGTTTGTCAGAGCATGAAAAACAAGCAGGGGAGACCCTCCTCAAGAACAAGATCACCACAACCTCGACCAATCAGTGACAAACACTGTTGTTGAGCAGAGAAGTACACAGTGGAGTAGGCCCTTATGACACTACAGTGGAAAAGAAAACCAAAATTACCACATGACCTTGGGACACCACTGAAACGCTCAGGTAATTTGCGACCCAGCGGGTTGAAAGCCACTCAAACAATGTCCGACTATGCCACCACCAAAGCATACCATAGTAGGGGCTGGCATGGCAGAACCCACTAATTGCCAGACCTATGTGAGAGCCAAGCAAGTCACATAAGTGCCAGACCAACTGAGCTGAGGTGGATATGTGGGCCTGTGGGCCATTCCAAGTAACAGCCTGTTGGACCAAGCTCTCACAAGTCAAGCAAGGTCCCAGGCTGGGCTTGGAGAGTAGACGAACTCCCAGAACCCCATCCAAGTACAATCCAGGTACAGCACTGCTGCTGGACAAATGGGTGGACCTGCACTTACCCGGATGACCAAGTAAGTTCACCCAGGAATTTCTACCTCACACACAAGCCTGAGAACTGCAGGCACCAGAATGCCCCAGAGCTGGAACTGGAGCCAACACTACAGAGAAATACTTGGCAAAGTGGCTGTATACACACACCTGCCATTGTTAAAAACCCTTAAAACCCCATCTGTGATGAGAGAACACAGTAGCAAAAAAGAGGGAGAACAACCAAGCAGATGCCTAAATAAAAACAAATGGCAAACTAGCATGAACAATGAACTGCATAGGAGTCCAGATGTTCGACCTCAGAGTGTGGAACGAACAGCCTGAGAATGCCAACCGCAGTAGCAAAAGCAGACCAGGCTGAGGATGAGGGACACCCAAAAAGGAACCAAGACCTGTCTGGAACTAACTGGAAAACACCTCTTACACCTCCCAGAATGCTTAAGGTAATTGAGGCATCTGCATGTAGGGTTGCCAAGCCCTGCTACATAGGACAAGATAGGAAGAAACATAGTCCTACTGCAGCCATAAAGGACTCTCGATGAAGACAAAAGGTTGTATGCTGACCGGGATGAAGCTGAGACCTTACACCACAGCCAGGACATGAAATTGGGCCTGTACTCATAGAAAACATCATAAACTTCATACACAAAGATGGTTGGGTTGACTGTGTCTTATTTGGCCTAAAAAAAGGCCGTAATTAGCCAGGCTTTTGGAGTTTATATGCATTTAGTGCTGCAGAGAATTCTATTGCGAACACAATGATACCAAATTTAATCTCGTAGGACGAGAATTAAGGTGACAAAGTTGAAGAGAGTATACACTTTTCAGAATTTACGCGCTCTCCCGTGACACCCTGGGTCCCATATCGCACAGTTGAAGGGTGGCGCGCGGGGTACGCCAAAGCGTTAAGAACATTATAAGAGGAGCATATGCATTGCTTTCCACCTTCAGACTTGTTTTTAATTACATGGATGGTGAAATACTAAAGAAACTGTTCATGACTTTTGCGAGACCAAAATTGGAATAGAGGCTAGAGGTGTTAAATATGCCAAAACTAGAAGATAGAAGAAAAAGAGGTGATATGATCACCATTTACAAAATAATAACAGGAATCGACCAAATTGACAAAGAGAAATTCCTGAAACTAGCAACTTAAAGAACAAGAGGACACAGATTCAATCTAAGGAAACAAAGATGCCGAAAAAATATTAGAAAGTTTTCTTTTGCAAAGAGTGGTAGACGGTTGGAACAAGTTAAGCGAGCAAGTGGTTGAAGCCAAAACCGTCAGTAGTTTCAAAGCGTTATATGACATAGAGTACTGGGAAAACGAGACACCATGAGCATAGCTCTTATCCTGTAAAACTACACTTAGGCAAATATATACCCAGTTTTGGGTAAATATATACCCAAAGCAGCATATACAGAGGTAAGTCTGCCAAGCCATACTTGAAGAACGACTAGACAACAAACCAACACAGGGGAACAAACACAAGTCACAAACTGGAACCCGGAAATGCACATGAAGAGAAATTCAATCCGTACTGATATTTGGAACAAGAGAACACATCCAGCCAGAACAACAAACCCTCAATACTAGGAACTAAGCAACAAAGACGATCAAAAGTTAACCCCAGACCCTTCTGTGGCAACTCCAAATCCCTGTGACCTTCTCTTGAGTAGAGGGGCAACAGACTAGGAAGTTAGCCTACATCCCTGTCCCAGTCTGGAAACTCAACAGAGGGAACAGACAGGTTATCTACTAGGAAAGCCCCAAAACCCTAAGCCCATCCCAAACGACAATGGAATCAATCAGAGAGAGTAGACCCACTTGCCTCTATCACATCCCCAGAAGGTGCAGCCCCTCGATGCTGCCTCTTCCACCCATGCCGCTGTCAGAGTCACCAGCAACCAAAATGCAAGCCAAGCTCGGAAAAAATGTAACCGCCCGAAAAGACACATTCATTAAATAAAGCATAAGTAGTACTTGTCAATGAAGAGAAACAGCTATATATGGATTTTGCAGAAAAGATGTGCAATGCAAACACAAACTTGTGAGTCAAAAGGAAAGCATTAACCACTAAAAGCCAGCAGGGAAGCCAAAACTGAAGTCCAGCAATAACAAACAACACACAGCCACAGATGTAAGGCCCCATGAACCCAGCAAAATGCATGACTCAGGCAACAGGAATGCTCATCAGGGTCTAAAATTGCTGGAAAACAGATGGAGAAGTCATAAGCTGGTCAAAAATATATACAAGATAATGTCAAAATCAGGAAGTGCAGCTCACAAAAGTAATTACAATACTACATAGCCATGTAAAGGGGCTTGTACGCTTACCATGAGGGACGAGTGAGCATTTCCATCTGGATCCTTAAACTGCCCCCCTGATATTGGTTTAAATACTGGTTTAAATACTGTCATGTCAGTCCTGAAAGCCCCCTGTCTCCAAAGGAAATATAGGATGGGAGAATCATAGTAATCACAATTGCATTTTACTGGGAGGTTTCGGTGAACTTTACCTGAACCTAATGGGAAGAAGTGAAGCAGTGGTCAGCCTTTTCTCAAGAGAACATCAACAATACACATGCCAGAGTGGCGGGAATGGAAGGCAAAATTCAAGCCAACGGACTGATCCCTGCACTTATTGCCCCATACCACGGGCTGGTATTATACAACTATGAGAATAAGTAACAGCTACAAGATGATGGCTCAACTTTCTGCTACAACACTCTCCAACTTAAAAAATAGTTTCCACTCTATTGAATAGCCATGACCTACTTAAGGACTGAGCTTCCTCCCCACTAACATTCTATGAAGAGATGCTAAAAGGCAATTTCCATATTAAAAGTTTAGCAATAATTTAAATAACATTGTTTACAATTGTAATTACAATCAATTAATGCCTCTAGCCTACTTATTTAATGATCACAAAGAATCAGCTGCTTCACAGAACAAGACTGAGAAGGTAACATGGAGCAAGCACTATGACGTGACAATGTCTAAAATAGCAAAATTTCAAAACTATTTTTTGTCCGAATAATATTACAGCCACGCTACACCTCCCCAGAGAGACATTCACCAAACAAAATCAAACTGTAGCCAGGACATTTATTTATTAAATGATCCAGCTTACCTGTACAGGCCCGTCGCACCTGCCTGCCCTTAGCTACTTGTCAGTCAACCCCTTCTCACCAGGCAACTATTTTTGACATTAAGGAGTGACATTTCTGTGGTAATGTAGCGAGTGCATGAGCTCCGTGGACCTCTTAATAACCCGAGAGTAACGCCCAAAGTGTTGGTCTTACCAGTGATAATTACAGCACAGCGGTTGAGGCCAGCGCCTGTGAACCAACCTTGTAATCAACGTTCCAATAATACAAGTTTTAACGCCAAAATCGTAATGTTCGCATATAATATCCATTTACGCAAAGTAAGTATTATACTTTTATATTGAGTTTTTTTAACTTTTTTCCAATTGTTTGCCTTTTTCTTGGTTAATGGGCAGACAATTTAATTTTAAAGTCTTTGCTTTCTAAGATGAGTGTGATCCACTGTAAACAAAATTATAATTAGAAAATATATATGATAATGTTGGAAGTAGAGACCTAATTATTTCCATGTTACTAAGAATAAACATCAAATATAAAATAATTCTAATTATAAGTTACATACGAGATAAGATAAAAGTTGGAAATGCTTTCATGTGGTAAAAGCTATTTTCCTACATTTTCACAGGGTACAAATTATATAATAATAATAATAATAATAATAATAATAATAATAATAATAATAATAATAATAATAATAATAATAATAATAATAATAATAATAATAATAATAATAATAATAATAATAATAATAATAATAATAATAATAATAGTAATAATAATAATAATAATAGTAATAATAATAATAATAATAATAATAATAATAATAATAATAATAATAATAATAATAATAATAATAATTATGATAATATATTAATTATTCATTGTAATCTCCTTCCTAGTTGTACTCACCTAGGTGTGCTTGCGGAAGTTTGAGCTTCGGCTCTTTGGTGCCGCCCCCAACTATCAATCAACTATTCCTGAGCCTAAGTTCTTATGTTGGCCAATTTAGAATATGCAGTTGATGATATCCTTTTCACGTGGGCCAGGCGGCGTCCGATAACAGTATCTACAGTGCCGATGTCAGTGTACTCCCTGATCAAGACTCCACATCCTGCCTTCCCATCCCTTGCTACCGACCCATCACAATATACATGTAGAGTGTTTTCTGTAGGTAATTTTCTAATTATACAATCATATGTTGCCCTCAGCTCTCCTATATCATACATACTTTTTTTCTTATGCAAGGGAGTAATTACCACATCTACATTACAATCCTCCCATGGTGGTGTGAATTTTCTCTTGGGCACAGCAATACACTCTGTAATAACATCATACTTTATAACATTAGAACATAAGGTACTCATATATGCTCTCTTCTTTATCATACATTGTTCATTACTTCCCACCTTTTGAACCGAGAGGATTAATTCATTATAGCTCCCCCACCTCTCATTAATCTAATGGCAGAGGCTACAGTTATCTCTGAAAATCTATCCCCATTACTCTTCAGATTCAACTCCATCCTCATTATCTCAATCATAGCATTTCTTGGGCATTCTAAGATAATTCTCATTTCTTCCTTTTGTACCTTCTCCAACTTGCCCATCCTACCTTTACCAGAACAAGAAATGACAGGTGCAGCATAATCAATAAGAGATCTTACAGTACTCAAGTATATCATTCGTAGCACAGGGACTTCCACTCCCTTTCCACAGCATGCCAAGGCCTTCAGAGGTTATAATCTCTTCTGACATTGACCCAACAGTCTGTTCATCTCAGCTTTCAAACTCTCATGGGTATATCTCCAACATATATGCCTAAATATTTATATATATTAACTCTCTATATATTTTTACCGTTAATTTTAAATATAATGGGCCTCCGACTTCTACATTCAAACTTAGTTTTGTTTTCATTAATCACCAGTCCGATATGGTGACACAGATTTCCGAAATTATCCAACACCGTTTGAACCTTTGAAATATCTATGCCGTGAAAGAAAATATCATCGGTATTAGAGTTACCCCATTTGAGTATCTCTCAGATTCTATCTTATTCATTAGTATATTAAACAGGGTGGGACTCAACACTACTCCCTGAGGTGTGCCGAGTTCAAAAGATCTCACATCTGACATACAAGGGTGCCAGAGGGCAGCATCTTAGGACCTCTTCTACTTCTTATATACATCAGTGATCTGCCTAATGTCTCTAACATGCTTAAACCTAAATTGTTTGGTGACGATACTACCCTCATCTACTCAGACCCCAACCCACTCATATTAAATAATGTTGTAAACAATGAAAAGTAAAGGAATGAAAAGTATTTTTTATAAACAAAAAAGTTCACTTATGGATGTCAACCAACAAACTCACACTAAACATAGAAAAGACCTACTACATCTTATTTGGAAGCAAATCAACACATGCAATTCAGCTTCAGATAGACAATGTTAACATCAGCAATAAAAAGGATAGAAAGTTCCTAGGCCTATACTTAGACAAGAGACTCAATGTGCAGAAGAGGAGTCGCAATAACGTGGCTGAAATATGTTAACCAAACCACACACTAGAAAGTGAAAGGACGACGACGTTTCGGTCCATCCTGGACCATTCTCAAGTCGATTGTGACAATCGACGTGAAGTCACAATCGACTTGAGAATGGTCCAGGACGGATCGAAACGTCGTCGTTCCTTCACTTTCTAGTGTGTGGTCTGGTCAACACAAGAGACTCAACTTCAACACTCACACACAACACATAACTGAGAAAATCACGAAAACAGTTGGTATACTCTCTAAGATCAGATATATGTTCCCTACTCTGCTCTCCTCTCACTATATTATGCACTTATCTTTCCCTATCTTAGCGGGAGACATCTCCCGTCACGCAGGGTGCAGTTGCACCTCCACAGATCTTCAGTATCAGCTCTTGATACTGGTAATGGCTCGAAAGGGCCACCACTTACGGGCTATTCAATCCCGTGCCACCTTTTGGGTAGCTTAATCTTCATCAATCAATCAATCACCCTATCTTACTTATGGTATCTGTGCATGGGGTTCAACCTCTGCAAACTACCTCAAGCCCATCATCACCCAGCAAAAATCTGCTATCAGGACAATAACAAACTCTGCTTTCAGACAACACACAGCTCCCCTGTTTAAATCCCTAAGCATGCTAAACATAAATTCACTCCACACATTCTTTTGTGTCAATTACATTTACAAAATCCTTTTCTTAAGTGCAAACCCTGTTCTGAAACTCTTCCTGGACGGGTGTAATAGAACACATAATGTTGTTGTTGTTATAGATTCAGCTACTGGGAACACAAAGTTCCAAGAAGCACGGTCTATGGTGAGCCCGTAGTGGATTTACCTGGCACAGGAGCGGGGCTGTAACTGAACACATAATCATTGTTTGTTGTTATAGATTCAGCTACTCGGAACAAGTTCCAAGTAGCACGGGCTATGGTGAGCCCGTAACTTACCTGGCACAGGAGCGGGGCAAGTAGTACGGGCTATGGTGAGTCCGTAACTTACCTGGCACAGGAGCGGGGCAAGTAGTACGGGCTATGGTGAGCCCGTAACTTACTTGGTACAGGAGCGGGGCAAGTAGCACGGGCTATGGTGAGCCCGTAACTTACCTGGTACAGGAGCGGGGCAAGTAGCACGGGCTATGGTGAGCCCGTAACTTACCTGGTACAGGAGCGGGGCAAGTAGCACGGGCTATGGTGAGCCCGTAGTGGACTTATCTGGCACCAAACACATAATCAAACACAAACACACCAGACATAAATATCTCTTTGATATCCCCAGAGTCAAACTTAATCTGTGTAAACACTCTGTGCAAATAAAGGGACCTGGTCTATGGAACTCACTCCCTAATGAATTGAAAAGCTGTCCAACTTTTATCTTATTCAAAAATAAAACAAAAAGTCCCTTATTTCATCTTCATAGTTTCATACCTTGTGCTGTAACTCGCACTGTATCTAGTGTTACCCAATCCCCCAATATATGTAGCTATGCCATACAATTTACCATTGTAATTATTGCTGGTATCTTGTATCATAATATACACATAGTTATAATGAATCTGCAGGTAATGAATCCCCCAATGGTGAACATTCCAAATGTAAACTATGTAAGCAAGAGTTAGGACATACTCTTCAACACTATATCTGTGATTTTCATGTTATCAGTGATTTCAGATCAAACGGTATGAGGTACTTTGAGCTGTGTAATTACTTTATACACTCAGGAATATTGGAAGATATTCTTGTGCTGTGCCCAGAGTTTGCTAGTGGAGAGTAATAGATCAGCCTCGCATTTCATGTTCTCTTCTGAGTCCATGTATGACTAACCAGCCTGTGAGATGGGGATATTTTTGTATCTATGCTCTATAACGGGCCGTTAAACTTTGTATTTTAAGTTTAATTTTAACACAACAACAACATTAACCTTTTCTAACTAACACCCTTCTTCAGCTCCCCGCTTATCAAACCTTACGGTAAAATATGAAAAAGAATAAATCAAATTTCGCGCGACAGCAATGTGACGCGCACCATATTGAGATCGAAGACGAGGTGCGAGTCTTTCGATCCCAGCACGGAGCCTGCGACCATTGATCAGCTGACATCATATGACACTGGCGCAGACGCTTGTTGTACTGTTTCGTGAACGGGAGCTGTCAAAAGTAGGTCCAACTACAATATACTTGTGTGTTCTTGCACATTCACTAAGTACAGAGTTAGTGCTTAATATCCAAGTAAGTGGGGAGACGAGTAATGAAGGGAGCAGCACTGGAGATAAGGTTTTGAGTTGTAAGTGACAGTAAATCTGTTGATGCCCGGCTCGCCCCAGACCCCCCCAGAGGAGGTATCATCTGCAGGTTATACCTGCTTGAGGGTCTTGTAGACGCTCTAAAGTCTCTCTATCTTAATTTGTGATGAGGGTTTATGGTATTGAGACAATTATAATTGTTACACGTTCCTTCGCCAGTGTACTGGGATGCTGCGGGAAAGGGAGATAAAATAGGATTTATTTTTATATTTTTGTGAATGCTTCACCTTATATTCTGATAAATGTTCATAGTTAAGCTCCACATTGCTAGTAACATAGTTTTAGCAAATGTAAATTATAATGCTTATTGTAATTAGGCATCTGAATAAAGTCAGAAATACAAGTCACCGCCGAGGCCAGTCTGTGTCATCTCGTGTATCTAACACTTAATGTTTCATTCTGTTACTAGGTGCAGTATTTTATTTAAGTATTGTGAAAATGGCGTATAAATAGGACAATTTGGAAAATACCAGTGAGGCGAGAGTTGGGTTCGTTCTCGGCTTGCAGTTGAGAATCCCAGGTGAAATAGAAATGGTTGGGTACATATTCTATCGCCTAATGCTCCTGTCCACCTGGCAGTAAATAGGTAAAGTACCCAGGCGTTTGTCGGCTTGTTGTGGGATTGCATCCTGGGGAGGGTCAGTAATTCGACCCGGTGGGGGGGGGACTTTGATATAAGTCTATGATGTACTGTGTGTATAAACTGGCTGCCTGTCCCCTGACACAGTGAATTAAAAAGTCTGGTAATACATGGTACTGTACGTAATTCTTTATCGCTGATCTGAATTTACGAACTTGTAATATTTCATAATTGCACTAAAAATAGGCTGGCTGGAAGGGCCTGATATATTTAAAACGTATCTGGAGATGTATAAGTGTGAGAGAATGTAGGAGGCAGTGATTAACAATTATTTTACAAAATTCGGTTAATTGTACTGTAGTCTATAAGTGGTATATTTTTATATTAAAAAATGCTTTCTTAATACTGTACATTTAGTTTAAGAATACTTAGAACACATTCATATTTTGGTCCATATATTTGATGACAAGTATGATATAAGCATTAATAATGATTTGGTACTGTAAGGGTCCACAGTGAGGGGAGTAAGCTTTGAGTCGGTCTCAGACTTGTCAACTTGTAGCTCTTTTCCTCCCCCCCCCCCCTCCCTTCATTCGTTTAACCATGTTCCATAAGCTTTTCTAGCACTAAAGTCTAAATCGGAACCCAGGAGTACTGATTACTCGTACATGGTGCTCAAATATTTGGTCAACCTAGCTCGCATCAGAAAGTTGTCTGCCAAAATCATGGTTCACATTCTGCCATGTAGATCATTCCAACACTTGTATAAATGGCACATACAGTATCATGCCTTTAACAAGCAAGTGAAGGAAAAGTTCATTTGTAGCTTCTTATCGACATTAAGAGCACTGGAGCCATGGAACTATCCCTTCCAGTACAGTTATAAAATGGCAAAATACCTGTGCTAATGTAGTCGATGAGTAGCCGGACCGAAGACATGATGACCAAACCACATGTCGGAAAATTACGAGCTTTGTCATGTTTTCATGTTCTAATGTGTGGTTTGGTCATCATATATTGCCAATCCAAGACGACCCAGCACAACTTGTTGCCTCTGGGATATTAGAGTAGATAACTGCAAAAGGCCCATTGGACCATTTAAAGCAGCTCCTATTTTTGCCCAACCTTGCTCACTCGTATGTCTACCCAATGCATGTAATGTTCCTATAATTCCACATTTATTATGTTCCCAATAATCTGTTGCATAAAATCCATTTTCTAAACTGGAGTTTACCTAGGGTTTTTCTGAATGTAATCCTATTTAACTTGTATACGATGAACAAACCACACATCAGAAAGTAAAGAAACAACGACATTTTGGTCCATCCTGGACCATTATAAAGTACTGTAGTGTAACAGAAGAAAAGAAGGTACTGTACAGATAAAAATATATAAGGTAAGAGAGTGAGAGGAAAGGTGAGGAGCAGGTAAGAGAGGGGTAAGAATAGGATGAATGTAAGATTCATCCTATTCGTAGGTAAAAATAAGAAAAAAGGTAAGAATAAGCAAAGAGGTAGATAAGAAACGGGCAAAGCTTAAATCAGATGACATTTATTAAGAGTGCTGTACAGTCCTAATGGCTTAGCGCACACATAATAATTACCTTACCTTATACAATACTTGGATTTTTTAACAAAAATCTTTTTCATTCAGATTTGGAAATTTGCTTAGTTCTGTACAGTACAGTACTGTATATATAAATTATATATCATTTTATTTTGTATTAGTTACAGAAATGACCAGTCTTGGCCACCTAGAGCATGTGGCTGCTGTGCAGCGGGACTACATTGCTCAGCCTCGTCTCTGTTACAAGACTGTCACGGGTGTGAACGGTCCACTTGTTATCTTGGATGATGTCAAGTTCCCAAAGTTTGCCGAGATCGTCAATCTTCACTTGGCTGATGGCACCGAACGCAAGGGACAAGTGTTGGAAGTGAGCGGCTCAAAGGCTGTTGTCCAGGTACTTATTGTTATAGTGATTACTTTATAAGTATATAAATTCAGAATTAGCAAAAATTTATTCACTTATTACACTTCTATCTTATCTCCCCCTCCCCTATGAAAAAGTACAGTTGTCACAATACTGTAATATTGTATTACAATACTATTACCACCTCGAACAGGAATTAAGCTCTCTTCAGATCTCGGTTACTAACTTTAAACCAGCAGAAACCTCTAAGAAGCAAGAAGAAATGTTACAAAAGTTAGAGAACCACTTTAACTCCCTACAACAGCAACACACTGCAACCCAAGACGAATCAGACCAACTTAAGCTCCTTGATTCTGTCATCATCTCATCACAGGATTTTCCCCATGAAACTGACAGAGAAGACTGTACTGCCATCGTGATCCAGGAATTGCGTACTAAGTTGAATTATTCAATCGAAGCAAGAGACATTAAGTCGGCTTATAGAGTGGGTACCAAATCATCTGGTACAAACAACATGATAAAGATACGGGTGAAGTTAGATAGCTGCTCCCGCAAGTCAGACCTTATCACTGCTGCAGTCGCTATGAAATCCAAGGTTTATGTGAACGAATGTCTAACCAGATTCAGACAAAATCTCTTATTTAAACTACGTGGAATTCGCAATAGATCCACTGCTATTAAACATTGTTTTGTGCGCGATGGTAAAATAATAGCTAGGAAGACTGACTCTGGAAAAACTTATGTCATAACCACTGAGGCACACCTCACTTCTTTCCTGGATGACTGTGGGATATCAGCTGAATAACCAGAACATAATTTGTAGTCCCACATACAACCAAAGTGTACTTAAGCTCTGCCTTTCCTTTCCAAAGGTGTTTATTTTTATTTTTATTTTATTTTTTTGTTTGTCATCTTTGCCTGTTTTATACTCTTAATTATTTGTTCTTAGCTAATCCCCTTGTCACTAAACCTAGGGCTTTTTATTACCCTGTTAATTAACCATTACTAAGCTAATTATCTTCAAGATCATATTTTTATGATTATTATTTTTCTTATTATTTTTTATTTTACATTTATATTGTCAGTCTCTACTGATTTTTTGTTTTTTATTTTATGTAACTTCTGTGTCCTCCCTGGCTATCTATTGGATCTTTATTTTACTTCTAAATTGTTACTATTTTATTGTATTTGCTTTTATTCTTGTGTTTTGCTTTATCGTGTATCTTGTATCGTGATCCCTCTGCATCTCTATGCACACTGATATTGATCCTGATCAAAATCTTCTGTCTCATATCTATACCAACCAACACATTGATCATCATTATTGCAAGTATTTCACAGCACACCAGGCTAAAAACAAACTCCAAAATAGCACCTATCTATCAGTTTATAACCAAAATGTTAGATCACTTGGTAAACATTTTGACGATTTAAATGCACTACTCACAGCACTAGGTACTAACCTATCGTTCATTATTTTAACAGAAACTTGGCTAAATAAAGACTATACCCAACTCTACAACTTAGCTCGTTATAAAGCCATTCATAACTGTAGGCCTAATAAAAAAGGTGGTGGCACAGCTATATATTACCGAGATACATTTATCTGCAACAGTGTTATTAGTGACAGAGATGACTACTGTGAATATACTTTTGCTCAGTTTACAATTAAATCCCTTAAATCCTCTTTGACTATTGGAGCCATCTATAGATTTCCCAGTACTAACATAGCTTCTTTCTCAGACAACCTAAGGAATCTTATTATAAACAACAATCTCAACAAAAACCACATCATTCTGGGAGGAGACTTTAATATTGACCTGGGTCAACAAAATTGCTCTCAAGTTGACTATTTCCTTAACGGCATGAACTCCTGTATGCTAATCCCCACAATCACCAAACCTACCCGAGTCACTCAAACATCAGCCACTACCTTGGACCACATATGGACAAACATAACAGCTCCCCTTGTATCTGGTATAATCTACGACAGAACAACTGACCACTATCCTACCTTTCTCATAGCGAACATGGACATAACACCACCAAAAAGCAAGAAACTTTCATTTAGGCTACACAGTGAATCAGCTTTAGACAATCTTACAGAGGCACTTCACAATATTAACTGGGATTCTGAATTCAGTAATACTCATGATATAAATTCATTAGCTAACCTCTTCCTCTCCAAAACTCTAAGCCTCTACAACTTTCATTGTCCCCTTCTTAACAAGCAAGTAACTGACAAAAGATTAAACAATCCATGGCTCACAAGTGGCATTCTCAACTCAATCAACAAGAAACATGAATATGAAAAGAAAGTTAGGATTGGCCTAGTTTCAAAGGAAGTAGCTAAAAGGTACTCATCAATGCTTACCAGTATCATAAGAAAGGCAAAACTTGCATATTATGTGAATAGATTCAATGAAGCAAAAGGCAACATGAAAAACACTTGGAAAACTATCTCTAGTATCCTAGGAACTAAACAACACTCACATAACCAAATAAAACTCTACAAGGATGGGGATATACCGTCAACTGATTTAGAAATGGCAAATGAATTTAATAGTTTCTTTTCATCGGTTGGTGCTAATCTTGCCAGTAAAATCCCACAGACTCAGACACATATTAACACATATCTCTCAGGCAGCTATCCAAACTCTCTTCTCCTTTCACCAATCAGCCCGGCAGATGTTGTGTCCATCATACACTCTTAAAAACCAAGGCAGGGAACACCAGTGAAATTCCGTCCATTGTGTACAAGAGAGCCTCCCATGCCCTTGCCCCACCCATAGCACTACTGTTCAACAAATCTATAGTGTCACACCTTCCCTGATATCCTCAAAAAAGCAAGAGTAACGCCAGTCCATAAAGGAGGCAATCCGTCAGACATAAACAATTATAGACCAATATCAAATCTACCCATTCTATCAAAAATATTTGAAAAAATTATTTGCAAACAGCTCTATTCCTACCTCGTAAAATTCGACATACTCAGCCCCTGCCAGTTTGGCTTCCGGTCCCAAAAGAGCACCAACGATGCAATCATTAGTCTCCTTGACATTATCTACTCAGCCCTTGACAAAAATGAGTTTCCGATTGGACTCTTCATTGACCTAAGAAAAGCGTTTGATACTGTTAATCACAACTACCTCTTACTTAAACTCCAGCATTATGGAATCCGAGGCCTTGCCCTTGACTACATCTGATCCTATCTTAGTGACAGACACAAATATGTAACCATCAATGATACAACTTCTTCCACTCTACCAATTACCGTTGGAGTGCCACAGGGCAGCATCTTAGGACCTCTTCTATTTCTTATATATATAAACGATCTGCCTAATGTCTCTAATATTCTCAAACCTATACTGTTTGCTGACGATACTACTCTTATCTATTCAAACCTCAACCCACATACACTAAATAATGTTGTGAATAATGAATTAAAAAAAGTCCACTTATGGATGTCAACGAACAAACTAACATTAAACATCGAAAAGACTTACTACATCTTATTTGGAAGCAAATCATCAAATGCAATTCAGCTACAGATAGACAACATCAACATCAGTAATAAAAATGATGGCAAGTTTCTTGGCCTATTCCTAGACAAGAGACTCAACTTCAGCACCCACATTCAACACATAACTAAGAAAGTCTCTAAGACAGTTGGTATACTCTCCAAAATCAGATATTATGTTCCTAACTCTGCTCTCCTCTCACTATATTATGCACTAATCTACCCCTATCTTAATTATGGTATCTGTGCATGGGGGTCTACCACTGCAAACCACCTTAAGCCCATCATCACACAGCAAAAATCTGCTATCAGAATAATAACTAACTCTGCTTTCAGACAACACTCGGCTCCATTGTTTAAATCCCTAAACTTGCTAAATATTAACTCCCTCCACACATTCTCTTGTCAACTACATTTACAAAACCCTGTTCTTAAATGCAAACCATGCTCTGAAACTCTCCCTGGACAGATGTAATAGGACCCATTATCACCACACCAGAAATAAATATCTCTTTGATATCCCCAGGGTCAAACTTAATCTGTGTAAACACACTATGCAAATTAAGGGACCTAGTCTATGGAACTCACTCCCTAGTGAATTGAAAAACTGTAAAACTTTTGCCTTATTTAAAAGCAAAACCAAAAAGTACCTAACTTCATCTTCTTAGTTTCCTACACTGAGCTTTAATTTGCTCTGTACCTAGTGTTACCCAATCTCCTAATTTTATGTAATATCAAACAACCTTATCATTGTGTTCATTGCTGTCTTCTTCTATGTGCTAGCCATATGCTGTATTGTGACTACCATTTTTGTCAACTACCATTCAAGCTGTCATTGCAACCAATCTTATATTGTTTCTGCTGTATTGTGCCTACCAATTTTTTTGTCAACTACCATTCAAGCTGTCATTGCAATCAATCTCAGCTACCTATGTGCTTTAATATACTGTACCTACAATTTTCTCTCATCTTTTTTTCATTTCATGTAATCTGTTATCATTTTTTTGGTCTATAATTTTTGCAAGTATTTACCTCCTTAAAATTTTCTTAGATTAAGGACCTGCCCGAAACGCTGCGCGTGCTAGTGGCTTTACAAGACTGTAATTACCATATTTGTATCCTCACATTCCTTATGTACATTCTTGTATATGCATAAATAAATAAATAAATAAACTACTGTAATATTATTACAGTATTGTAATACAATATTACATTACTGTACTGTAATTACAGCACAGTATTGTAATACAACATTACAATACTGTGCTGTATAAATTACAAAATTGTGGATCTGGTGTTATACATAATATATTTTTTTTTTTAACTAAACCTGTTGATAAATTTGTCACTTTATTTGATGTACAATACACTGCTGTACCGGGCTCTCGGTTGAGGCAAAGTTGCCTACTCATAATTCTAGGTCCACAATAAAGTTTCTAGATGTTGACCCCCTTGTGGGCTCCAGTGGTGGTCATTATGTGTAATAAGTTTCTGCTTCCCATTTTATTGGACATTTTTTAACCATATGAGTTTATTGAGAAACCACTGAAAGGCAAGCAGGTTTCAGCCTAGTATGGTAACTGGTCTGCGACCATGCCATGACATGCCATGAAACCAAACATTTACATAATTTCCACAACTTCAGCACTTGATAAATTCTTAAAAACTTGCATAATAATCGGCACTGTGTGTGTATGTGTGTGTATACTGTACAGTTTTAAAAAATGTTGATTATTGTTTGTTTCTTTTAGGAAATTGGTTTTAGGAAAATCATTTCATAATTTCAATTTTTCAGGTATTTGAAGGAACCTCTGGTGTGGATGCCAAACACACTGTGTGCGAGTTCACTGGTGACATTTTGAGGACTCCTGTGTCGGAGGACATGTTGGGACGTATTTTCAATGGCTCTGGCAAACCTATTGATCAGGGTCCTACAGTATTAGCAGAAGACTACCTTGATATTCAGGGTAAATCAGACTTGTTATTACTTCTCATCCATAATTAATTTTGGTTCATATTGTGATTTTTTTATATTCACGTTGCATAAAAACTAAGTATCATTAACCCTTACACTGCTCAGGGGTCCTTGGGACATTTACACCCCTGTGCGCAAGAAAAAAAAAAATTCAAAATTTTTTTTTCATCTTCTAAACATGTTAATTTGTGTCCCCTGAGCACGGAAAAAAAAAAATCGTAGGTGACATATTTTGGGCGCAATTGACCGAGGAAGTCTGGCAAAAAGTGGGCGTTGACAGAGCGGTCGTCAGACCCGGTCAGCGACACCCGCGTTGACAGATGGGAGTTGCCACAAAGATATTATTACCTAATTGTTTCAATGTCTCCGATTGATTTTTTCTTAGTTTTTTTGCAGTAATATTATTCAATAGTGTGTATTGTAATATATTTATATAATAAAAGTGGTTAATAATCGCTATACTCAAAAGTATGATGTGCATATTAGTGATTCAATTATTATGTTTATAAAACTATAAACAAATAGTTTTGCTGCTATTACACTCTATACACAGGTTATATATAAGTATTGGCATGTTTTGGTCACCATAACGAACCACTAAGTTGGTATTGAGTCGAAAAGCAACGAGGAGTTACCGCCACACACCAGCCAGCCACTCGCTGCCACTCCCTCAACACACGCACTAAACTTTCTCCCCCAACAATACCATTTGTGGTGTTATTACACTATATACAGACGTTATATATAAGTATGTATATATTTTGTTCACCACAACTGTACAGCTAAGCTGATATAGTTAGTTCAGGCACTAAGAGTCGTTGCTAAACACAGATGGCGGCTCCCTCACTCTTTCAAGGTCACACGCACTAAACTTTCTCCCCCAACAATACCTTTTGCAGTGTTATTACCCTATATACACATATTATATATAAATATCTACATGTTTTATGCACCGTAACTGTACACCTAAGCTTGTAGTGCGCTCAAAGAGCATAGTAGCCACCCTCTAAACAGCTAGACAAATCATGCAGACGACGTCGCCTCCGTCACCCATATGGCTCCTCCCAGCATAATCCTTTTGCTGTTATTACACTAATACACACATTATATATAAGTATCTACATTTGTGTTCACCATAGAGAACCACTGACCTGGTATGGTGAATGCAAACAATAACAGGTGGCCACACAGTCAGTAAACGATGCTGTCTCCCTCCGTCTCTCAGCATCACTCTCTCCACAGCACTAATTATTACAACAATCCTGCTATTATCACAACCCTGGTTATTTATATCACAGTCATGGGTCATCTGTAATATTGTCATCGCTAAATAATAACAATTATATATTTATTTTGACATTTTTCGGCGATGCTGTGGTCACAAGCTGAACATCAATGCTGTTCGCTCATGCTGCGTGCGCCGGCCTTGGTTGCTCCAACAGTACTGTGCCTCTCACACTTGAGAATATTGCCCACGATTTTTTTTAAAATGACATCTGTTTACAAGAGCCCTGAGGAAGCTACTGTGAACCCCGTGTAGCCGCGGGCCATTTGAATCAGGCCTGGCACCCTATGGCGTATATATACGCCATGCGCACCATGGGACATGTTACTCAGGGCGTATATATACGCCATGCGCAGTTTACGGGTTAAGTGGGCAAGATTGGTGCTTGAGTGGGGTCAACAAGTGGGCGAGATAAGTGGGCAAGATGGGTGCCGGTGGGTGAGATAAGTGGGCGAGATGAGTGCGGTGTGCCCACTTATCAAGTGGGCAAGATTGGTGCTGGGCAACATTTGCCCACTTATCAAGTGGGTGAGATAAGTGGGCAAGATGGGGTGCCAGTGTGTATTAATGATCAAACACATTACAAAATTTATTTTGTGAATCAATGCAAAATT